ATGCCCATCAGCTGCCAAGCCACATACACATTGCCTCGATGAGTGCTGCAGCGGCAGCGGCTGCTGCACAGCATATACATTCCAATGCGGCGGCAGCAGCAGCTGCTGCACACGCCACACAAATGTCGGCAGCAGCGGCACCGCAGCAGATAATTATATCATCAGAGCGACGCACATTCCCGCCGCACAGACGCCTACCGCGCTTCTGGCCAGCCAATCATGGACCACACCGGCATGTCCTACCGCCGCAGTCGCTGGCACCACATCAAGCGCCCGTGCAAATCCAAACCACCGCTGGCATTATCAATCCGGGCTTCTTGCTCAATTTCCTGTAAGTTTAACTAATTAATCATGAAAATTCGCATATCTAATCTATTGCATTTATATTATTGCAGCGCCATGTTCCCGCTATCACCGTATAACCAACACGATCTCAACTCCGCGGACACCAATGAGACGGAGAATTATGAGGCGCTGCTCAGCCTGGCTGAGCGTTTGGGCGAGGCCAAGCCTCGCGGGCTAACTCGCAACGAAATCGATCAGTTGCCCAGCTATAAATATAATCCAGATGCACATAGTGGTAATACAAATTTAATTTTTGTGTCCGTTGGAAGTTCATTTGTTATCTAATTATAAATTTTAACAGGCGATCAATCATCCTGCGTGGTCTGCATGTGTGATTTCGAGTTGCGCCAGTTGCTGCGCGTATTGCCCTGCTCCCACGAATTCCACGCCAAGTGTGTGGACAAATGGCTGCGCGTAAGTTAAATATTTGTTTAATGTTTGTTTCCCTCTAAGTGCAGTGTCTGCACCTAACGGTGCATGCTCAAATGGCGCTTGATTAACCGTTCAGCTGAGCCTATGAAATAGTGTCTTTATCGATATTTCGTGTTTAGCTTTGTCAGCCATTCATTTGATTTTGTATATTTGCAGTCGAATCGCACATGCCCGATTTGCCGTGGCAACGCTTCCGATTATTTTGAGAGCGGCGTTCATCAACAGCAGCAGCAGGTTTCGGCACAGGGAGCAACAACCACAACATCAATAAATGGTAACATTGCCACAGCTACCACCACCAATGCGTCTGCGACTGTTACCGCCACCGCCACCGCCGTCATCGTCAATCCACAGCAGAGCCAGGCCGCTTAGGGCAATACCAGCAACAATAACAATAATAATAACAATAACAAATACCACAACCAAACGCTTTCGCCACGTCGTCCAGGTGCCACAAGTAATGGATCACACACAAAATCACAACAAACAACAAACACATATACACACAGTTAGCCTTTATAAATAATTGATATAACGCGCAACGAATCCAACTGCCAAATCGCTTCCCCTTTAAACCAGACCACTTCAATAGCTTGTCGTAGTACTTTACTTAGGCGGTAGTTGTATGTTAGTAACGGTAAATGGTTAAAGAAGAAACAGACACACACACACACACACACAGTAAATTGTAATGTTAATGTAATTATATTCAAATGCATACCACCAAAATTTCATACATAAACAAGGACTACATTAAATGCACAATTATCGATAATATTTCATCGATAGTAATATTAAAGAAGTTGAAAATAAGTAAACTCAGCAACAACAACAACAACAAACCATAAAATTCATAATCACACTGTTATCTTTTTTTGTGCACTACTGAGCAAATTAAAAATTAGATAAATTGAGTCAAATTGGGCTCAGCTGCCGCCTGTGCTTATAATTTCCTTGTGCATTACATTGTAACAGATCTATTAAAAATTGAGTGCATACTCTGTATACAAAGCATTACTATTATCTATACTAAATGGTGTATTTTAAAATGTTGCTGTCCACATACATACATATTAATTAACACTATCTTCAAATTAAAAAAAAAAAAAAAAAACAAAATGGAAAATTAAAAAAAAAAATATATATATATTTGTATTTGTTTATGCTTTCTGTTTCCTTATATACATACATACATAATATTTGCATTGCATTTTAATTTAATAATTATTAAAAGTTAAATTCTATATATATACTCAATAGGGATTGGTAGCTTTTCACAGTTGAAGGTAGACATGCTGTTCCATAACACAAAATGGCCGCCGTAAACTGTTAAGATCAGCGCGTTCTTATTGAAAAATACTGTATATTGTACGAACTGAACCCACTGAAGAAGTTCTTCTTCTTTTTGCACTAAGCAAAACAAAAACAAAAAAGTACTAAAATCAACTAATATTTAACTCTTTCAATTTTTTCGTTTCAATTGTTTAAACTTTTTTTTTAATTTATTACTATTAGTATATATATATATACTTATATATATATATATATACTTACACTAATATAAACGAAGCAACTAACTTTGAAACATATAAGCAATCTTTGAAATCGACTAAAAAATAAACTAAAAAATACAAAATCGCAGAGACAACATATATATACAAATCGCGCGATAGCACAGCAGACATACAGTAATAATAATAATTATAATAATATGATCTACATACATATACATATACATATATTGGTGGGCTTATTTAACTGTATTGTCTTAGACGTGTGCGATTCGCTAAACTATATATATATATATATACATATAAACGAGGGCAGCTCCACAGTTTCGTAGATTTGCCTTTTTCGTGTTTATCCAGGCTCTTTGTTATATGGCATATATATATAACATAACTTACACCGAAAACCTCCTTGAATTTGAATCAATGTGACTTGTCTATTAAAAGTAGCACGCTGGCCGAGCATCAGATGCAAATATGTAGTTATATACATTAATATCTATATATATATTGGATCTATATAGAGTTTTCTTCTATTATTATGGTGTTTCTTAATAATATGTATATGCATAACGTGTACGATATTTGCATAGCCTGTAAATCTGTACGGTTTTTAAAAATATACACATATATAATAGCAATATGTTTATATACATATACTTAACAAAACAGAATACAGAAAAAATTACCAAGTAAATTGAAATGATTCCTGCCCTCCATTCGTATCAAACCATTGAAACTAACTCAAAGCGTTTTTTATACATATAAACACACATCTATATATGGCATTGAATTTTTGTGACAATTGCATGTATATATATATATACGTTGCATATATATATATATATATATATATATATATATATATATATATATATATATATATATATAGCATACATAAACCGTATATAAACATATAAATATAACATAGATTAGAAATTTTCAGACAGTACTAACATAGAAGATGACTTGCTTATAGCGAACCTCTAAAATCAAATTTGTTTTTCGCAAAACAAACTATTTAACAAAATGAAAAACAACGATGAACACTTTTTCAGATTGCGATACCCTTAAAAAAATAAAAATCAATAATGTTTTCAATCCTTACTAAATGCTATGCATAAAAGTGAAAAAAAATCTTGATACCTAGTATATATAATAATACATATTTATATATATGTATGTAAAATGTGTGTGTATTTATTTTTAATCTACATAAATGAAAAAATGGTATTTCCAAAAGACCATTATAAAGGTGTTGTGCTTTTCTAGAATTTTATTAGTAGAATGAAAATGTTTATTTTTTTGTCACAATAAAAATAAAAATAAATAACAAAACGTTATAAAAAGAATATATATATATATACATGGATATGAATTGAATACCTTTTATACGTGCACTGACATACTTACCTATACATATATATATATATATATATATATATATATATATATATATATATATATATATATATATATATATATATATATATATATACAAAAATACTGTCTCAATCAACCGAATTAAGAACCAAACAGCTTGAATACAAATTCCTTAAGCTTATTTTTATATTTCAAATTTAATTTCAATATTTATTTTTTTACACCTTTTACTGGAACTTTCAAGAATAATAGCACCCGTAATTTAATATCGTTTTTTATTTTTATTTTTCAAACACTCAAGAAAAATCAAAAGCCTATCATAATTAAATTAAAAAACAGAAGAAAAAATATAATGTAAAGTTTTGCTGTGATTCGTGATGTAGATGTACATACGTTGCATATATATAAATTTATGTATACATATGTATATGTATGTATATATATATTTATATATTTAATTACATAAAATGCAATAAATTAATCAAGCATATAAAAATATAGTAATTAAAAATTATTACGTCGACAGCCAATTTAAACAAATAAGGAAAAATCAAAGATAAAACGAAAAAAAAAAATAAACTGAAAACATTTTATGCATGCGATCTTCTTCAAAACAATATGTACATCATAATCAAACATCACTTGTCTAGAATTGTCTAGAATTATGCAATTTTAAATGTGACTATATTATTTTACATTTTTGTAGACAAGAATCTTAATAATATATGTAAAAATCAGTTAACCATAGTATTAAACAAATCTTTTTCAATGGCATTGTAATGGTGAGCGGGCGATTTTAATGTTAAATGCAATAATTTCAGTTTTCGTTTTTGTATTAACTCGCAAAATTTAAATAAAATTCAATGAACGTAAAAAATAAAAAAATCATGACTTGGCTTTCCTTCACATCTTCATCAATAGCTATATTTCAGTAAATTTTAAATGATTAACCTTCACTTTGAACCTTTGAATAAACGTTATTTGCAAAAGTGTGACCAGACGAAGTAACCGATATACAATAATTGGTCGTACTGTTTTCTGAAACACACCAGCAATTGTTAAATTTACAATTATGGTTCCTTTAATTGAAGATTTTTAAACTGAAATTAAGAAAATTATACTAGCTATATTTATTTTATCAGTTATGTTTCAACTTCTTACAATTAGTACCTTCCCGATTAAATAAGAAATCAGCTGCGAAAAACTGGTATGTTAAAATTAACAGAGTCTGTAGAAACTTTGAAATCGATGTTGTAGCATTATCGATTGGACTACCAATCGAAAACAGCTGACGCTTACAGTTGGTTAACAGCGGCGGCGGCGTGTGAATGCAAGGCGGATGAAATATTTTTAATTATAAACACGGACACATAAATAATTGAAAAAAGAAAATGCATTTGTGCAAGCGAAAAGCAAAGCGAAAATATGGCCTGTAAATTATATCATAAATGTGAAAGTGTTCGCCAAGCGTTAACGCCACAGGCAAAGTGAAAAAAGGAGTGCGAGTGGAAGAAAAAATCAATTGAAAAAGAAAAATTGCATTTCGCTGCCCCAGCCCCCATTTACGAAAAAAATAAAATAAAAGTGTGTAGTAGTATCAGTGAAAATATATTAAGTTGTACGTGCTTGTGTGCGGAGAGTCAGTGGGGTGCATGTGCTGAGAAAAGAAGAAGCAGCTGCTGCAGAAATAGCAAAAGGAGACAGCAACGACAAGCGGCCAAGTTACAATAAAGCGTTGGAAAAATGAGTTCAAGTTGTGAAAGGTGTGTGCCGTTAAACTATAACCAGCAAGCGCACTGGGAAGCAGACTAGCAGCAGAAAAACAGCAACAACGAAATGAATCGAAATGTTTGAGTGTGTACACAATTAAATTAGCAACAACAACAATAGGGCGTATTGTTAAATGTTTTGTTTAATGTTTGTCTACTCTTCTGTGTTGGGAAGTGCGAAAATTTATACGCAGCTCAGCCCAATGGTGTGTAGAGCAGCAGCACCTCCCCTTTAAGGCGAGCCTATGATGGCAATGACAGCCGCAGCCGCTGCCTGTCTGAATGTGCGTGTGTGAGTCGTGTATGTGTGTGGATTGCATTGCTTTCGCTGCTGCCGCTCACCCTTCCTGCACCTTAACTATATTTGCTAGCCGTTAATTAAATGCTAGTTCCTTCAAAATTTATGCATTTTGGCCTGCAAAATCGATTTTCTTGCAAGGCGCGACAACAAGCGTCGTTTTTGTTTGGCACCCGCGGCCGTTCACTACATGTACATATATGCAGGAGAGAAAGAGATAGCGAGAGTGAGAGCGCTCGCTCTCTGTATATGTATCGATGTGCGTGAATCTATATGTATATGTGTGTGTGAGTAAGGATGGTGCGGCGTTCTGAGCTGCAGCTTCGAATAAGGAAAAACCGGAAAATGTTTGACAAAATATATTTGTGTGCTTGTGTGTGTAGAAAGAAAAGCCCAAAACAAGCATTCATGGGGGAAACCAGCAATGCACACACACTCACACGTATATACATAATTCAATGCGACGACTCACGCACAGGGCAATTCGGGTGGTACTTTTTTGTGGGTGGTATTTTATTTCTGGGTTTTTATTTTCGGGTTTGTTCCTTTTTCGCAGCACATCTTTTGCGCGTTTGCATTAATGAATGGACGAAATGAATGAATTTTGTCTGCGTGTGTCCCCAATTCTTAAAGTTTTGGTTGCTCTTGTTGTTGTTGCTTTAGTTACAATGCGCTGTGTGCTGCATTCCAGAGGTGCCTTTTCATTTTAAAATAGCCGCAATTCTTGCATCTCTAGGTCTTTTTAATATCTTTATTTATGTTACGTTTTCTAACATTCACACCCACTATCTTCCTCTCTCTCTCTCTCTCTCTCGCTCTCTCTTTTTTTTTTTTTTTTGATTACAGAATAGAATGGGTGGAAATAATCGAGCCGCGCACCAAGGAGCATATGTATGCCAATCTAACAACTGGCGAATGCGTTTGGGATCCACCCGAGGTAAGTGTAAATAGCACACAGATGTGCCAATAATTTAATTAATTATTTTACACATAGTACAAATACAAACACAGAAACAGACACACATATACAGTACGCTTCATTAACAGTTTCACGCTAATTGCCAAATGTCGCGTGGGGGCTAATGAACTCATTTGTTTTTATCAGTTTTATATTATATACCCTTATTGTGAGTATTATAATTTTAGCCTCAATAGCACAAGGTATTCTCAGAATATCAAGGTTTTTCAGAGGAGAGCCAGCATGTAATAATAAACCCAAGCTAAAAATAGTTGTAATCAAATAATGTGGAAAGAGAAAAAACTCTTTAAAGATATATATATTATTTATTATTTTGTTTCATTCAGCTGAGATCTTAAATTGAGAAAATCATTGCTCAATATTTGTTAAGAGCATTCAATCGTCGTTATTTGTTGCTTTGCAGTGGCTTTCTTGTCCGACTGTTGCTTAATTGACATGGGTCACTTGTTTTGCAAATTTTATAGTGAAATATACACATGCATACACTACATATATGGAAAATAATTTGACCCAGTTCGTCAATGGCGTAAACAATGTTAATTAATTGTATTTAACAAAAGAAAAACACACATTTTTCGCATAACATTCGCTTCATTGGCATAGGGTAAGAGCTTATGTAATTGGTTAAATGAAACTGGACTGTAAGTTTAATAATCATATATAGTTTCAGTGTTTTAACAAATGAATAATAAATACTATATATATTCATTGAAATGCAATAGAAACAAAAATGAATATTCTTTAAGCTTTACATGTTTTATGACAACAGATTAGCACGATTATAAAATATCAATATCGAATATGCATATGTTATGCCAACTAAAAGACATGTGCTTACATTTTTCATGTACTTACATCAAGTTGGGGATAATATTCTACTTCAATGCGTCGCCTTTGACAACTTTTGCTTTCTGAGCACACAAAACGACATCATCAAAGGCTGCTGAGAGCTGTTTGCACAGCTTTTTTAGACGCTTTGTCCACAGTTCGCCTCCTTCTTCTCCTCTCCTGATGTCGTGGTTGGCTGATGCGACATTACCAAAAGGTGTCACAGGCTAATAACTTTAGACGTCTGGCCAAAGGGGAGCAAAGCTAAAGCACTAAAGCAAACAAATGCAACAGAAACAAAAGCTGTGATGTGTCTCTCTTCTTCTTCATTTATTAATTTTTAAAATAGACCTTAAAATACTTGCAGCAGGTATATAAATGATCATATGTAATCTTAGTCTATTTCAGGCAAATTTCCTCGTTTAGTACAATATTTATAACAGTTACAACTAATATATAGTTACATGTATAATATTAATTCTTAAATTTTGGTGTATAAAGTAATAACAGGGTATTTACTACATCGATACGGTCAACTGAGTCACGCCTACTTATTTTTCTACTGCCGGAAGTAGTGAAAATTGCATTGATTTTGTACTGGGGCTCTGCAAATGTCCTCGACTCGTCCTCGTTTTGCTTGTGTGCACTCAGATGCATGGGTGTATGTGTCTCTGTGTGTGTGTGTGTTTATGTATTCCTACTGTAAACCTTTACATGCACAGTGCAGAACAAGCGGAGCACGGCGCTTGCCTTGCCTTTGGCTTCACTTGGGTGTTATTGTCCATTTCACGCAGAGATTTATTGCGACCCTTTCGGCAGGGGCAATATATGTACGTACACACTCACACACACAAAGTCCAGTTGCATGGCAGTTAAAAAACCGAAGCCTTCTGAATGCACTCTCTCATTCAGGTGTGTGTGCGAGTGTGAGTGAGTATGTGTGTATATGTATGTGAGTGTGCCTTGCTTGCTGTTATTATGTATGAGTTTGCCTGTGTTTGCTGCGTTGCTTTTCGGTTTTTGTCACTCTCGCTCTCTTTTGAGTCATCGCCCACACTTTACCGTACTTTCGTCGTGTGGCCGCGTGTGGCTCTGCAGGAAGTGAGCGTAATCTGAAAATCCATTAACGAAAGGTCGCTCTTTTTAATACACTGCTAATTGAGTTGAGAATAGATTTTTTTTTTTTAAAGTATTTTCTTGTTAATTACAATAGTTAATTAGAATTATTATTTATTATTAAATATGAATGCTATTTAAAATATACAAAATAGATCAGAAAATGCATATACTCTAACTGAACACTTTAGCAGCATAGTTTTTATCTTGTTTAACTACGACAAGTAATTACAATTCGGAACAGTAGGAAATATGTATTTTTGCATATTAAATTGTAATCTTATACAAAATAATTCTGAACATAGGTATATCCTTACTGCACACTACCGCAGCATGGCATAGCCCTAACATATGCCCTAAATTCAGCTGCAACATCGCTGCTGGCGCCGACGCAGATGTCACTGCAGTTATTGTCGAGTTGCCATGAGGAAGTGAACGAAGAATCCTTTTAGCTGCGCAATATAATCTATTCATTTGATGCAGCATACCGTGCACAGGGACATGCAGGCCGACACATGGCAATACAAGAGAAACCAATACTTACACACACACACACATGCAGGCTCACTCTCACCCTCAACTCTCTCTCAGTCTTTCTCTGTCTCGCACTTTTTAGCTCTTATGCGCCCACCCAGCTGCAAACGCGCTTTAAATTAGCAATTTTTTTTTTTTTTGGCTTTGTCGGTTTTTTAAGTTTTTGCCTGTGGCAGCTTTTTGTTTTAATGACGTCGTCATTGCTTCTTCTTGCTGTTGCCACTGCTCTTTTTTTGGTGTCAGCGGCAGCGACAACAGCTATTGAAGACAAAGACAGCAACAATTGCTGCCTCCATTGTACGTGATTTGAAAATTATGCACAGCAAGTTGACTCCACTGTCTATTCGCTACCCTCTAAGCATAGCTAAAAATGGGGTGTATTGGTAGTGAGGAATTTGTAGCTAAGCTGTATGACCAAATGCATGTGCATCTATGATCTTAGAGGGTATTTCATGACCGTCACGCTTTGAAATGCATTTAAAGACTTTATTATAACTCTCTGGCATACTTCCTCTCGGTGCTTCATTTTTCTTCTTTTTTTCATACTTTTTGCTCACTTGCCTTTGTAAAACTTCCGGTTAGGAAAGAAGCACAGCAAAGTTGCCCACACGCTGCTCGTTTAGTGTTACAAAACGTCGCAAGAGCAGCAAAGTGAAGGAGGAAAGTTTAGAGGGAACGGGCAAGAAGCGAGAAGCGAAAATCAGTCAGCTATAATGCTTACGTGCGTCCGCTAAAGCGGACCAAAACTAAGCACATAAAGACTGCACTATGTGGCTTTCAACCACGCCCCTGCGCCCCAAGCCACCCAAAATGGTGGTCTTGTGGTTTTTGGGGGCTATGCTACGCAATCGTCAAAATATTTCAAATGTTCATTATGTGCTTACACATACATACACATACAGACGCAAACACATACATACTCATGCACATCGTTGGACTATCGTTTAGTTATTCCCTTTACCGCTTTTGGCCGTCGCGGCTTCCTGTCTTTATTTTTGTATTTTGTATTTTGTGTTTGATTGCCAAGTGGGTTATCAGCCTGGCCAAGTTGCACGGCGTGCATAAATTTGTTTGGAAATTACAATGGCAATTAAATGCGCATAAATATCGCTAATGGATTTCGCTTATTAAAGGTAGTTGGCATTGTCTTATGCCTTGCATCAGCTACAGGAAATATTAAGACTTGTTGATGGGGTTTACGATATGACCAATGAATAGGCAATTCGATTTAAATATAATGACAAGTGTTTATTTTATATGTTTGTGTTTTAATTATTTTTCCTGTAATTGTGTCCCAAGGGTAAATTCACTATATTTTCTTCTTCTGTGGCCCATTGAGACATTATAAAATTTCCTCACATCCGAGAATGCAGCATAATATTATAAATCAAACAATTTGTCATTCAAATTCGTTAAAAGTTTCCCAATTTCCATATCTAAAAGCTGACTCAATCGAATCGGTTTCATATGTTGAGAGCTTACGCCATGAATGAAACTATATATAATGCCAAATGGGGTTCTTAAGCAACTCCATTGATTCTTAAGTTCAATGGAAATTGAGGCTTAAGGTTAATTCTCTGATTTACTGGAAAGTATTGTAGAAAGATTTGCTAAATGTTGTTGACTCAAAAAACTATCATTGATAATATCGAGCATGTGTTTGTCATAACGTTTAAAAAAGCAACTTAAAACTGAATTTTTAACTAGAATTATTTTATTATATGAACAATTTCATATATGTATATCAATATATATTTTGTGTATGTATGAGCTTATATATTTTTCAGTCACAATAATATATTTATCACAACTGTGCACGCGCCATTAATCCAATTAATTATCAATCTAAAGCAATTAGAATTTTGGCGCTGTTAGATCTGGGCCAACTTTTGTATGCTCTTACAAATTTTAGGAAAATTTAGCAAAAAATATTAACAGTATAAATAAATAAATATTTTTAGAAATCTTTTCCAGTCCCTGAGAAATATTATATATTTATATATATGTATATATGTATATATTTATTCATATAATTAACCAAAATTAACGAATAATAATAAAAAGTTCTATTTATGCTAGAAACCTTATCAATAAAAAACAATATATATGCATAAACATATTTGTTTATTTACATGTATGTAATAATAATATAAGTAGTATGTTTTAGTTTAAATTTATTATTTCCGCTGTTGACACATTTTTAAATGGGTTTGCAAAAATTCTTAAAATTTTTCATTTGATTTCTTTGATCGATGTTATCGTCAATGCTATTTTTAGCTGAAGTTCTTTTCTGTTTGTTTTTCCTTTTTCCCTCTCTCTCTATATTTTTTGTTATTTTTGTAATATCAATGATGACCTAATTTACAAACAACTTTATGTTTGGGACCGAATTTTTGTGTACGTTTCATTTATTTCGCCCGTTCCCTCGCGTGCCTCGCACGGTTATTCACAGATGTGTTGCTCATTTGTATTGTTGGCGCACGGGTCTGTGAGGGAGCATTACTGACCTCGGCAATCGGCGCTGATAGGCCGCGTTCTATGCTGATTAGAAATTGCTTTACCCCACGATTAAAAGCTTAATTGTTTTTCAATAAGCTTGCGCGTCTATAAGTAGCGAAACGTAATGAATTTATAATGAAAAAGAAAACAAAGGAATGCAGTGCACATGCGAAGCAATTGGAGTAATGGAATTTCAGCAATTAAAACGGGCCCGAAAATAGAAAACCTTGAGCTAAAGCTGCCTGAGTTTGCTGAAGAACTTTACTAAATACTTAATTGTTGCTGGTATTATAGGGCCTTATCTTTGGAACAACAGATAATTAGATAATTATACATATTACTAATGAATTTATTAAAGTTTATTATTATTATTTTGCTTAACTTTTAAAATTATTTTATTTTATTTTTTTTAAATTCAATTTTTTAGTTACTTGTTTTATTTTTTATATATTTTTTTAATACTTTTTTTTAGTTATCTTGCTAGTTGTTTCTATTGACCTGAATATATATATATATATATATATATATATATATATATATATATATATATATATATATATTTTTTTTTTTTTTATTTATAAGATATATATATTTTCTGGTAATATTTAAAGCATTGACTTTACTCAATAATAGTTGCTTCAACATTGTATTCCACTTAGGAAATGTTCCTTAATTTATTACATAATAAAATAGTTCAGTTGTCTAATGTTTTAATTTATACATATAGTATGTATTAAAATCGTGAAATTGTATTTTGCTCTTCTCTTGGCTTTGACTCATAGTTAAATGTTGTAGGCGTATGACTAATAATTATAAATATTGTCAGTTTCTCATTTGTTTTCGTGCATAAATATAATCCATGCATATTCATTTTGACAGATTTTTCTCAAAGATATTTTTGCCAGTGTTTGCGTTCGAGTTGCTCTAATTTCATTTTCTTAAATGGAGGCAAAAGCACAAATTCCATCAATGAGATAAAGATGTAGACCTCATTGTTGTTGCTATTTATTATTGTCGTTGTTGTTGTTGTTGTTGTTGTTGTTGTTGTTGTTACAGTCTCTGTTGTTGTATTCGTTGTTGCTGTTGTATTTTCATAATTACAAAATATTCGGTATATCGCACAAGGCCAAAATGAGGACGTGTCGAAGGCACAGACATCAGTCCATACTCTTATTGAATATACTCTGCTCCACTAAAGGCTATGGTGATATTCTAATCAGATTTGTTAATTAGCTAAGAAATAATGGAGAAAATAATTAAAATATCATCAATAAATTGTCTCTCGAATTGCAAACCAAGCGCTATTTATCAAGATATTGGAAATATTTCTATTTATAATTATCAAACCAGAGTATACAAATTTCGTTGCTTATCAAGCTAGTTTTATCTGTTGTTTTCTCTGCTGCCCCAAGTGGCACGCGCTGGAGAGGAACTGGGAGGCGGGCTGAAAGTGAAACAGATCCACTTATGCGCTGTCAGTCTATCCGACTGTGCGACTGTCCGGCTCAACTCGCTGCATGGATGAATGACTGGCTGACTGAGTGACTGATGGACGGACTGACAGTTGGAAACGCAACAATGCAAAAAGCGTAACGATGATGTCGCTTCGCCCTGCTCGGCAGCCTTGTCCCAATCAGCGCTGCAAAAAAATAAAAATAAAACTCAAAATTATGCAATGCACCCGCAACGCATGGAAATGGAAATGAAAACCAGAAATGAAAAGCCAGCCAAGTCGAAAGCTTTCAATGTGAATGCAAAGCGCATTGTTGCTGTTATCAGACTACAACAAAAACAACAACAGAAGCAACAGAAATGTGGCAGATTAAAAGAGAAGAAAACAACACGTGCCTGGGCCTGGGTCAGGGCCTGTCTCTTGGTCTCTCTCTCTCTCTCTCTCTCTCGAGCTCGCTCTTGCTCTATATGTCGGGGTGTTGGGCGTTGCAGCTGCAGTTGCAGTTGCAAAGTTCAAGGTCAGCGCAGAAATATAACCCTCGACACTAGCCCAGCAGGCCAAACAGAGACAGGCCGACTAGCAGAGCAGAAAGAGATGGCCTGCATATATGTACGTATACATATATACGGCGCTGGACTAAAAAGGAAACTTGAGTTTTTGTCAAGACCTAATGAAACGATTATCAAGCCAACGAGAAAAACAACAACAAACAAAACTGTCCATTAGATGCAGCTGATTGGGTCGAAATACGCTGATTAAGCCCGATGCAACGACAGAGCCCTTGAGTTGCAAAGCGAAAAGAGGAGAACCCAAGCAATCGGCTGTAGCCGACTGCATAATACACATTCAGGGCATTAAGTATTGACGATGAAGATTTACTTAAAGTCAAATTCTAGCAACATCTTTACAATTTGCCAAGTGTTGATGATAAGCCAAGAGAACAGAATCTGTAAACATATGTATCTTCCTTTATGAATGGATAGTAAAACACTATATGATGCAGGTTCACTCTTCATTATTGTCATAAAATGTGTCAAATGAAGTCTTGAGCTGTCTAGAACCACTGCATCCATATACCCATCTTAAATTTTGTTGAGCGGATATTAAAACTGTTTTTGCACAGCTTTTGTTCAGAGTAAGTTGAGTGAAATCAACAACAGACAAGTGCAAATGCTGTGAGCGAGAGAAATGAGGATGAAGACACGTTTACGTCAATTTTCATGAAATATAATATTCAATTTCGCTCGATGTTTGTGCAAACGTGCACTCGAGATATATTGGGTGAAACGCGTTATCTGATTTATGGCGAATAAGATATATGATTCTATTGTGAATGCGAGCTTGAGGAAATAATTATGAAAATGTAAATATACTTATGTGCTTTATTTTCTGAGGGTTATTCACGGAATTTTATTTATTTATTTTGTTCTTATAGTTCAGGTGAAATATATATGCATATATATTTAAAGCTCTGTTCTCATATGATTTGTTGGCTAGCCTAAAGGAATGTGAATAACATTTAATATGCGCATAAATGACATTTTCAACACAACACCTCCCACACACATAGCCACACACACGCATACTTACACACTTTGCTAATGCAGTTATGATATATGAGCTTAGCTCAGCTGATTCATTTGGATTTAAATCTCTCACTCATTCCGCTTATCTCTCTCTCCCGCTCTCTCTCACTCTCTCCCTTTATACAGGATGTGCCAATTAAGCGAACCGACTCATCGCAATGGTGGGAATTGTTTGATACGAACACGCAGCGCTTCTATTACTATAATGCCGCAACGCAGAAGACCGTGTGGCATCGGCCGAGCAAGTGTGACATCATACCGCTGGCCAAGCTGCAGACCCTCAAACAGAACACCGATCCGAGTGAGCGACGAGAGCAAACCACGCCACAGAAGCATTCGGTGGCCAAGCAGCAACAGCAACAGCAGCAGCCGCAGCAACAGCCATCGCCCATGTCGGCAGCTAATAAGAAGGGGCGTGCCCAACGTGGCAACGGCGCCATGGCCAGCTCCGAGGAGCAGCTGATCAGCAGCGAAATGATCTCTAGTCCACGAGGCCGTCAAAGTTTTCGGTGAGCTTCAATTGAAAATTGCCAGCAGCACGAATATTTATTTACTTAATGTGATTCGATTCGTTTCCTCTTTTGCAGCGTTGGCACTGGTGACTCAGTCCGTTCGATGGAGCTGCAGCAGCAGCAGCAACAGCAATCACAGCAGCAACAGGGCTACGGATCGCGACGCTCACAGGGTAAGTTATTGAACTGACTCTATCTACTAAATCACTCAAACTAAACTCTTCTCTCTCTCTCTCTCTTGCTCTCTTTTTAATAGACTCTTGCAATCATTACAAGGAATCGGGCAAGTCAAGCGATTCGAGTCTGTCCAGCGCTCATGGCTATCGGCGCTTCAATGATGCCTCTAATGGTGCATCAGGGCCAAATGAGCCGCTGCGTCTGGGCTCCTTGCAGAAGCATCAGCACGGCGGCAAGGATAATGGCGCGTAAGTACTTGGGTTAAAATCGGGTTCAGGTTGTAAAGGTTTTTGAAAGTTGTGCAGGCTTGGAAGAAATAATAACTATGCTATTAAATGGTTATTTATGAGTGCTTTATATATTTGGTCGACTGGGCGTATGCTTAATGTAGACATAATGTAGGATAATTTCTTTAAAAAATAACTATTTAATATTGTAATTTTAATTAAATTTTGTTTATTATTTTATTTTAGAAAAAAATGAATAATTGCTTATTAAAAACTCTCAAAAGAAAATCAGTTCAGCTAGTTTAAATTTAGACTGTGCTCTCTTTTATTAAATTAACTATAAATAAATAAATTTAAGTTTATTATTTGATATTGATAATACTTGAGCTCCTTTTAAATCATTTGAATTCTCTTAAATTATAAATAAACAGGAATCAGACATTCTTGCCGGCTGGAATAATATTCCATTTAATAGTTATATGGTATATGGTTTGTTTATTTATTTAATTATTTGGGTATATAAGTCTCCAATGGGTCTCTAATCCACACGCACACACACATTATTGCTTTGCATTGCACACACATTTAATAAGAACAATCTTTTCTTTGCATCTTTCCCGCTTGCTCTTCTGCCTCTGTCTGTCTCTCGCTTTCATCAGCTTTGAAATGTTGCAAGAAAGCGTCAGCTCGCATAATTTACCGCAAGGCTCCTCATCGTATGTTGGTGACAGCAACAAGTATTTCGATCATCAATTGCTGCCCAGCCATATGCAGGGATATTGCTCCTCCAAGTCATCCGATATTGCCTCACCTACACATTCGATAAATACGCCGCAGGCGCAGAAGAAGAAGATATCGCCAGATGCCGAGCGACAGTACAATTACGCACAACAACAACAACAGCAGCAACAGCAACGTATCGCACAACGCGGCGGAGGAGCAGCTCCCGCCTCTGGTAAACCATTTGGATCAGCTATTGGAGGTCAGTTCTTAAACCTCTCCTTTGCTCTCTTCAACTTGTTAACTATTTCAAATGTTTACAGATCGTGAGTACAAGGTCTCATTGGCGCGTTCCGGCAGCTTTATGTCCTCCTCTATAAATCCAGCCGCGGCTGGACATCACAGTAAATCGTATCGGAAGAGCAGCGCTGAAGCAAATGGCGGTGGTGTCGGTGGTGTTGGTGGTGGCGGCGTTAGTGTTGGTGGTGCTGTCTATGGCGGTGCCGCCAGCGACGATTCCATGCATGAAAAGTACTTTAAGTCTGTGGAGAATACACCGCTCTCGCGGCGCCGGCACACAACCAATGCTAGCAAGAGCCAAAGCCAAGGCACCACCGGCAGCGGCAGCAGCGGGCACAAGAAACACTCGAGCGACTCCAGTCCACAGAGTCCGATCAGTCCGCAGACAAAGAGCTCTCGACAGGCCAAGACAAGTGCCACAAATCCGCCGCCACAGCTGCAGCAGTCTGGATCAGGGATGGATCGTCTCAGCTTGGAGCGGATGTCGTTGGGCAAAGCGGCGCCCATTTCACCAAGTGCTGGCTCCGATAATCTGGGCATGTTAACACACTCGTCCAGGGGCTCCAATGACTCAACGGCCAGGCGTCAAAAATCCAACAGCTCCACAGCAAATCGTTCGCAGTCATCTCACCATTATCCGGGTCAGAGTTCATTGCGGCACAGCGCCAGCTCCAGCTTGGACAAACGTGGCTATCATCCGCTGCAGAACACGTGTGAGAAGCGGGATTCGCGGCGTAGCAAGACGCAGCAGCACCATTTGCATGCGGACAGCAGCGATGTGGAGTATGACAATGGAAACATCTCGCCTCTCTACAGCAATTGCGGGCAGGAGATGCCGCATCTGCTGCCGCTAAAGCATTACATTATCGAGCAGGCCAAGCTTTATGGTCGATATGACTATGGACGGGATGGCGATGGCGTTGGTGATTCGGATTCGTATCACTCGGATAGTCAGTCGGAGCATTCACTCTCTGGCCATGAGCCGGACAATGAGGACTCCGACGGTGGCTCTGATACACATGGCGGCTATTTGGAGCACAATTATGGCATGATTGATGACTACGCCAATATGGGCGACAGCGTCTCCTACTATGCCTATCAGTATCCGCCCTACGATCCAGCTGGTCGCGAGGATATGTAAGCCACAACTAATTGAAAACTTTTTATTGTACATTCTATTTAATGCTATATCTATCCCATTTACAGTTCCGACAACGTGGAGGCCGTGCTGGAGGGCATTGGCGGCAATCAGGATCCCGTCACGGCTCCCAAGCCCAAGCCCCGCTATCAGATCTCATACTATGACACCGTCTCCCATTGCCCTCCTTCGTCAGGGGGTCAGGGCCATCAGTACAACCAGCAGAATAATCAACAACTGTACTCAAATACGCCCGCCTATCCGTTTGCCAGTCATGGTCATGGCCATGGTCATGGCTTGGGCCAGCCACCGGCACCTCCACACCACCAGCAGCAGCAACTGCATTTGGATCCCAGTGATGCGTCCAGCGCCAAACAGAAGCAATCTCAGACATTGCCCTCGCCCAATCGTCAAATTTCCCGTCTAGTCGCCGGCCAGTTAACCAAAGATGAGGCCAATCACGGCCAATCGCAACAGCAGCAGCAACCGCCGCAGTCGCAGCAATCTCAGCTCTTGGCCAGCAGCAGCAGTCTCAGCCGTGGCGGCAACCATAAGCTGGCCCCGCCGTCACTAAAGCCCACCATACAGCAGATATTTCCACCCAGCGACCGTGCGCCTGGTGCCCCAACGCTGGCGTGCATGAAGGAATGTGATATTGAGAAGTTTGCCGCTGACAATTTAAACATGCACTCGAAGGGCATCTTCCGCAAGAAGGCATCTGTGCGGGACATGCTTAGCTGGACGGCGGAGGCTATAAGTCGCCCGATGTTGGCCTTGTCGCGCGATAAGGCCGACAAAAAGACGGCCATTGAGCTGTTCAAGCTGGTGCAAATCTACATGGGTGATCGCAAGGCACGCATGGGCATGAACCTCAATTCGGTGGCCATAGATATTATTGTAGCATCCCTACCGCAACAACAGTTAGTATACCTGTTCTAAAATTTAAGCATGATTTCATTCTCATCTTATGTATTTATTGCACAGATTACGCGATGAACTTTATGTGCAGCTATGCCGCCAGACCACGGAGAATCCCAAACGCGAGTCACTTATACGTGGCTGGGAGCTAATGGCCATTTGTTTATCGTTTGTGCCACCTTCTCCGACGTTTCAGCCCACGCTACTCAAGTAGGCGCCACACACATTATTGAAATATTCAAAGCAACTAATTTGGTTTATCTGATCATTGCAGCTATGTTAATCGCCATCGTGATCCCTCGTTTGCCACTGGCTTTCTAGAAGTCTGCAAATGGCCCATACACGTGCAGATCTCGCATTATGCAACCGTTTGTTGCCGCCGCTTGGATCGCATTGGCAGCAGCGGCCGTCGCTTGGCCAAGAAGCCCACCGTTGATGAGGTGGAACAGGCACGGGTTAGCTGACATTTGTATTATATTAATTAATTATGTATTATATAATTATTAGATATGTTATTTTATAGTAACATTTTACATGTTTCCTTGTCCATCATTATAATTATTCAAATTTTTTTAATTTTAATCAACTTGAATTTCAGCAACAAATTTTACGGAACAGTATGTTTGGCAACACGCTGTCCGAGGTGATGGATCTACAAAAGGATAAGTTTCCAACACGTAAACTACCCTGGATACAAACCACGCTTTCAGAGCATGTAAGTATTACCAATTCAGGTCAAGAATCATCCCAACTTACATATATGTATATACCTCTCTTTAGGTGCTTCTGCTCAATGGCAAACAAACTGAGGGCATTTTTCGTGTATCCGCCGATGTGGATGAGGTGAATTGCATGAAGAGTCGCTTGGATCGGTGGGATGTTCCTGACTATAAGAACAATATGGGTGTGTTAAACTAAGCTCCAGCCTTAAAATACATATACTAAATATTGTTTTTATTCAACAGTTGATGCACATGCGCCTGCCAGTTTGCTTAAGTTATGGTATCGTGAGCTGTACGATCCGCTTATACCCGATGATTATTATGAGGATTGCGTGAATACTGAGGATCCCGATAAAGCCAAAGAAATAGTTAATAAGTTGCCACAAATTAATCAACTGGTAAGTGTATAATATTTGATATCTAGTCAAATTCTAATTTCAAATATATATATATATATATCTATATCTTAATTGAACAGGTCCTAACGTATTTAATACACTTTCTGCAACAATTCTCCAACCCGGAGGTGGTTGCCTGCACCAAAATGGATTCGTCGAATCTGGCAATGGTATTTGCGCCAAATTGTTTGCGATGCACTTCAGATGATCCCAAGGTGATTTTGGAGAATGCGCGCAAGGAGATGTCCTTTATACACGTCTTAATACAGCACATGGACACAACGCATGTGGCCAATCTGGTCTAGAGAGCTTTGATAGCTATTTAAAAAGATACCGAACTATTCAAATACCAATGAGCATACCTATATAAATATATGTATATGTATGTATATATCGACATATATATATATGTGCATATATGTTAAACGTTATTAACCTATCCTAAACTTACTTAAATAGCCTATTTGTATTTATGCAAATTGAAAACGTCAAGAACTCCTAACAAGCTCCTAACTTTAACTATACTAATAATTTTTTGGTACTCGAATTTTCTAAACTAATTCAATTAATTTTATTGTATGCTTAATTTAAAAAAAAAAATACTCCGAACTTTTGTCAGCATTGTAACGTGTAGTGCTTATTAAACCAAAAAATTAAAATACAGATCTAATCCAAAAGTTATAAAATATATATGAATTTCAAAACTTGCAACTTAAACCGAATGAGCGTGTGAAATTTTAGAATAATTTATTTATTTCGCGTCTTAGTTTTATAAAAGTTCACACAAGAAGCCAAGCAAAATACTCAAAAGAAGAAAACCAACTCTCAAACAAAAACTTGTGAAGCATATAAATATTATAAATATAAAGAAGAAGAAAAGTACTGTAAACAAAAATGAAATGCAATAACTGATTTAATTCAATAAATAAAAAAAACTGCTTACAAATCATATGCAGCAACATAGTGCTATATATATATATATATATATATTTATTCGTATGCATTATATAATAAAGAAATGTTATGATGAAGATAATTCTGAAAATGCTGCGCAAACAATTTAATCAATTAGCTTACACATGTAAAACAGCAATTTTACACAAATATACACATATATATATTTAAATATATATGAATAACATGCTGTAAAAACCAGAAATCAATTGAAAAGATACAAAAATATATGTATGTATGAAAAAGGCGATTGGTTGAAGCATGAGAATGAATAAAGTTATATAAATAAAGAGCCAACATATTTAAGTCTTAACACAAATGATTGATGTATTGACGTCCCTGACGATCATTCAAAATTTAAAACATAATATGTCTATCAGTATCATATGTCTAAGGCTCTTTATCACATGGCCCACGGCTTCAATTGAAAGACACATCGTAAATTTACGAGATTTTCCCAAATTATTTATTTATTTTTTCTATTTCTTTCATTATAGTGCAAATTTATGCCCAATTTTAAAGTCATTTCGAACCGTTTGTCTACGATAATTGCTAATAATTTAGTGTCACTTGACGAAAGTTAAGCCCATCCAACGACATCCATTATCATTTATTTGCCAACTAGTGCAGACAGCAATCAATTCTGGAATTCGAATCGGGTACATTTATATTTATCGCCGACCGTTCGTTTGTTCGAATTATTTTTATCAAGGTTTTCATAGTATTTGGTAATTTGTTTAAGTACAATTCGGGGGCTTGTTTATGCAGCAATCTTGAAGGCAGCGATTGTCATAGCATTCAATGCCCATAAGCACATTAAAGCACCAATTGTGATTCATGCATTTAATAATTCAAAATGGCGTGCAAGGCCGTGCGCAAACTCGAAATAGTTTTAGATATATAAAAACGTCTAGATATTATATGGTCACAATATTTACCAGAAACTGCATCAAAGTTAATTCAAGCTACAGATATGAGGTGATCCGAAAATTCGATTTTGGTTAACGTTTCAGTTGCGTAGTGGTAAATATATGCAACAACGATAAGAAAAGCTCGGGAGCTCGGGATATCAAGCTTAAGATCAGCAAGACTTAAATAACTGGTAATTCAATAATAAAGTGGATAGTAAATATTTATATACACTCTCTCTTACGCATAGTATACATTTACGACTATCTAAATAATAGAACGTACATATATAATAATTTTCAAAATATATAATGCGTAAATGGGTCGGCCAATCTATCTAGCTTTCATAAGCTTCTACACAATAAATGCCGTTTTCGACTCGCTCAGATGGATTTAAATGGGTTTTTGATAGCACATATCAAAATATTATTGGCATTTTTATGTTCATTCATAACACTTAAATTTTGACAATGAAATTTTAAGAAATTAAAAGAGAACTGTTTAAGTCTTTCAAAGTAGTTGTTTATCAATTGCGCGTCTGTTTTAGCCTTTTTTTTTTTACATATTTCAGCATGACTCTTCTTTTATTGGATTTCTACTTGTCAACTGAACTGAACTGACTCAACAAATTTGATTAGTCTACTACTAATTTTAGAGTCGTGAAATTCTAAAAAAAAAACCCAATGTTTCTTATAATAGCCTATTAATTGACATTTACAGTGAAATCTTTATAATGAGTTTTTATTATTCAGCCGAATGGAGGCTTATCAGCGTCGATTAGGTGTGTTCGAATCGGCATAAATGTGACGATTATCTAAGTAATATTAGTAAATATTCAGTAAGTGAAAGAGTATGTTGTATGTATGTATGTATTGGTCTTGTCCGTCGAAACCATTTCACAGATATTGAAGCTAAGCACTTAAAGTCTCGTTATGCACTAGTGGATACCCTCGATTTAAAGTGGTAGGATTTACCCGATATACCCAGTGTGTATATATGTATAGTGCTACAGATTTGATAGTTATAATATAAAATATTCTTATGTATCTATATACATAATAATATTTTATATTAATGTTTTAATATTTTATATTAAGTGTATCTATATACATAATAATATTTTATATTAATCATTAGGAAAAATTCTATTTATTATTTATTTATCTATTTATCTTATAAAACTACTTAACGTGAATATATTTGTAGCTGGGTAGCAAATACTCAAAATCATTTAAGACGTTAGAGCCGACTTGATCTTTGTCAAATCATACGAATAAATATGATCAAAATTTAGGGAAAATATGATAATATTTCATGAGAAACTGTAAATTGGTTTGGTGTTTTCTAGTTAAATGACATGGAAGGGGTGAGAATGACTTATATAGAAATATATTTGAAAAATTTCTCAGGTCTCACAGCATAAGGGTAAGTATAAAGTTCTTCAAAGTTATGATAATGAAGTTGATTGTCAGCAACACTCTTGATTTTACTTCTTTGATACTTGAAATAGTTAAACAAACGCACTCGAAACAACATAGGTATTTTTATGCTTGTATCTAAAAGATATAAGCAGCGACCTGAAAACAATATGTCGCTCAGGTAGCGAGTAAATAACAATAACAACAATTAGGCGCATTTATTTTGTATATTTTATCGCAAACGCCAATGCCCAAAATCAAAAGTAATCCATCATCTCAAAGGCTTTAAGGGGACCCCGACTACCCCCGACTGATAAGCGAGAGGCAACAGCGGCACCACCACCTCCTCCTGCATTTCAGCAGTTATACAAACGCATAAATTGTTTCGAAAGTTTCCAAAAATATGGAACTACCATCGGGAGGCTCAATTCGTAGCACCAACTCGATTACTCAATCAAAAGAGCTGGCGATGACGACATTTGTAGATCACAGCGGGGGCTGCAAGGTTCAGAGGGGGTGAAGGAGGCATAGATCAAGGGAGAAGTCGGGGGTGCAGCCGAAATCGGTGAGAGCCTATTGGTACTTTTAATTTGTTTACAACTACAATAAATAAATGCGAGCACAGAATGTGGGTGGTAGCAGAGGGTGTGCACGACCATGAGATACCCTAAGGCAGAGAGCTTGACTATGAATTGCTCTATGAGAAATTGTGCGACTTTTGATAACGATTTATTGATACATTTTCTTAACGAATATACATTTTAGAGATATGATAAAGCTGTGTGTATAATTTATTTACGAATTCTATAAATCTTGTTTAAATTGAATACTTTATATAAAAAATCGAATTATTCAAAGTAAAAAAAAAAAGGTTTGCCTTAAATTTTCGGAATTTATTTCTATTCTATTGTTTTTTTTTTTACTGGATATATGTGAATATAATTGTAGAAATTTATAAATAGCAATTTTATAAAATAGTAAAAGGTACATACATAGGGCTTACTCAAAAGAGTAAACTTTAGTCACTTACTTACGGTAAACCGCTCTTAACTTTTCATCAGTTCATATTCCATATACAACATTACAGGGTATATCAGTACGAACAGTAGTTGTGCTACGAGGATGAGAACAACGAGCAGGATGAGTAGCATACAACAACAACAACAACAACTCGACAACGACAAACAACGTCGTGCGAGCGATATCGATAAGCGGGTGATTAACAATTACTCGATCAAACAAAACGCCGACAATGCGTGAGAGCGAGACAACAACATAAAGAATGAGATAGCAGCAATGGACAGCCACTGTTGGCAATACATGTGTGAGTGAACGAGTGTGCATGTGTGTATGTTTAATAAGTCCCGAGTGTTTTGATTTATATGACTGGTGGATCGGCTCGATTGGACTGAGGGCCAAGCCAACGGGCTATCGGGCCTACCTACCTACCGGGAGCAAGCTACCACCTTATCGTGGGCCACCCCTCTCTAAGGCCCTCCCTCCTGGCGCTCCCATTATCATTATCTATGTACATGCGTATCTACATAGCGTCGCTTATATTATTGTTAATATAGATATCTATACCCATTAGCACAACATTATATGTATATGTACAATCTATTATATTCTGTGAAATCTGATTTAGTACAATTTATTGGGCCCAGCTAACGGCCATTCCAATTAGTTCATCGCCTGCGCCCGTTCAAGACGCGTCGTCTCTCCTCGCAGCTCGGCGCTTTTATTTTCGAACAGCCACAGATCGAACAGCACTAGCACAATATGGATAACAACACACTTAAGGCAAATAGGTCCGCCTTCTCCATAGACAACATTCTGGAGCATAAGACACAAACAACGGAAGTGATCAAAAAACCGCAGGCACAAACGCCCACCCAGTCGAGTCCTTGCACAGCCTTTGCACCGCCAGCCGGATCTCCAGTGCAGTCGATATACGATCTATCCACACAATATGCACTCAAGAATCTGGAGTCCGGGTCTGGCACCTTATTATCGCCGTCATCGGTGCGCCTCAATCCCATCTACTCAGATCCCGCCTCGTTGTTCTATCAGCAAATGCTAAATCTACAGAAGAATTCTCCGCTCTTCATCCCACACTTCCAAGCCGCGGCGTTAGCAGCAGCTGCTCAGCCAGCCGCCTACTGTGATCAATACAGTCCGTTTCTGGATTGCGAAGGTGAGTGATAATGCCATACTTTTATATTGACTAATAATAAAAATAAGTCTGATATCGTATTATATATTATTTAAACATAAAAATAGCAAAATTCAATATTATTATATGTATAAATTATAATACTAAGTTATAAACTAAGTGACAATCTCCTATAGGCATATATATAAAGGATTCAAAATCCGAATAACAATTATATATTGTTCTAATGATTTTTACTTCTATTGAAGATTCGCATATCTAATTTAATATATACACTCATTGTTATCATTAAATCAAGATCAAAATGCTTTCTAAAACCTTAAAGTTAATTTTAAAATAATTAAGGTAGATATTGAATTTTTAAGCACAATTATTTCTGTAAGGTTACTTTAATCAAGTAAAAATATACTCGATCATAATCATTCATGATCTAAAATTATTTAGGTTTTCTATGGAATAGACACTTTTGACGTTTCCAATAATTGATAAATCCATCCGTCAATAATGTCAACAGTGACTAACCTGCAAAACTTAGTGACTTTATTTCTGAGACTGCAGATGATATTGTTTTTGTCCGATTTGTCCAGTATTTTGAGATATGAAAAATAATCGAGCATAACGTTATGATTTCAATTCTGCAACTAAATAATGTTCTTGAACAACAACAAAGATCGTAAATTTGCACTCCTTTACAATCATTCATTATATTACAAATTATTCATAATTACTTATACTTTTTACGTATTTACTTCCTTTGAAAGGTTTGTTCCTTTCCTTAGGGTTCTGCTATAGATTCGAAAAACAGTGCACTCTTTATACAATCGAAAGACAATACAATTTGTAGCTGCTTACGAAATAATAGCAGCATATCCAGTATCAAAGTCCATGTTTCCTCATGGCCTGCTGAGACAAAGGAGCAAGGGTAAAGGTATCATTCGATCATGCAACGTTATGGAATACCGGATATGAGTCAGCTCTCTTATAATACCCATAATGAATGAGCGATATAAATACATAATTAATAACCTAGCTTAGGTAAAAGTCCAAACCATAGTATCTAATAAAACATACCCAATTTGATAATGAAAATCATTAACTTGGTTCAACTTTAGACTTGAGATATTGGGAAGTCGCAAGTTATATATTATATACATATAATTCATATATATATATAAATGATATGATATGATATAAATATAAAATTGATCATTAATTGATCATTTTTATCATAATATGGGTACAAATTACATAGATTATTAATTTAATTTAAAGAAAACTTCAACACGGTCCTTGATTTTTACACTTATCAGGAATTCAGAAACCTCCGTGATCATACAGTGTAAAATAATATCTGAAAATATACTTCTTAGTGAACAAGTTGAAGTTCGTTGAACTTGGATTTATAAATCCCAATAATATCCATTAAAATAAAATCTCTTTATAAATACATATGTCTCTTCATATCCATCATGCCCATCTTTATTCAAATGTGCATCGACCTTCATTCAAAACTTTAACATCTATTTAAATGCATTGCAAAGAATTTTCCCATACTGTTTATTTCCAAAAATGTTAAAGGTATTACGAGTTACCCCAGCATGATTAATGTGCATTGATTTTTGTCAAAGTCAAGTGTTGGCGCCAATGGGCACTTGAAATACCCAACACTCCCCTAAGCTACCCGCAACGCCCACACTCTGTATGCATTTCACCCGAGTTAGATTAGCTGGCTCGTCTGGCCCATGGATCTACAGTCGATCACCCTACCGGCCTACCTCCCCCCATAGCATATCCCTCTCAAAATCAAATCCCCTGTCGTGTCATATAACACGCACATTTCTCGGGTAGCCCTTATCACACACTGAATGACAAATATTTGAAATTGAGGTGAGCGTCAGACAGGCAAATGGGGCAGCTACAGCCATATGACATATCGAGTTAACACTGTAACCAAGAGATACCCTATAAATGTATATATACTTATACTTGTTATACTTGAGTTAAGCTCACGATCATAGTGTAATGAATTTATTGTTTATTTTACGATGTCAACCCTTAGCTTAAAATTGAAAGTTAAATTAATTTTAAAGTTTCTAAATAGATTTTAGTTGTCTTTTGATAACAAATTTAATGAAAACTATTGTAATACTCATTATTAATACATATTATATTATACATATTAAGTTGAATGAACCAGGCTTGAATTTCAGCTAGGCTCGTCGTCTGGCTCACAATTATTTTAACATACAGAACACATTTAATAATAATTATTATTAATCATGTTCCATAATGCTATCGGATTAGTTGTGCATTAAAGTTATTCTGTATATGTACTATAATTTTTATAAATTTAAACATTGTACTTATGTTATCAATATTATTTAATATTATTATGTAATGTTATATTCAATATAAAATTTAAAAATTATTTTTTTATAATCGTAGAATCATAGAAACATTCCTTAGATGTATATTTTAAATTAAACCCAAAATTATATATACATGCAGTTAAAATCTTATCAAACAAAAGGGCTTAAGTTTTAGTTCTTGTTCAGGGATACTACGATATAGCTTAGCATCCAAATAAAATGGAAATGAAATGGAAAAGAGATCTTGAAATTTGAATTCCTTCAAACGTTTGATATAGCTCTTGAATATTTTTGGGATATATTGCATAATATAGTATTAGGTTCACATACTTTCGATGTTTTTCGATCTTACCACGGGGTTTGGCTTAAACCAAGTGTCTTACAGAATAAATAGCTTCTGTATTCCGTCAATTTATTTTGGTTGTATTTCCAGATATTGATATGACAGCTTTTAGCTGAAGCACAGGGCATATTCCAATCGATTCGATTTCATTTTCCAATCTTTGGACAATATTTGGGAGCTTATCTAAACGAAAAATGCTATTAGAGGCGATTAATAGGCGCTGTCCATCATCTTCTGGCGACGATTGCTATTCGATTCACATCGAGATAAGCACGTCCGTTGTCGTCTCTACGTGTTGCTAGATTTCAGCTATATTATATATATATTTATATATTATGTACATATATATATTTTATGTTTTATTTTTTATTTTGGCCTCTTCATCTAATATACGAACGATTAGCAGCAAATTGTTCTCAAGTGCAAGAAGTCAAAAATGAAAAAAAAAAAACAGTGAAATCAGAGCAGTTGAAGTTCTAGATGGTTAGAGTGGGGGCTCTAGGTTCCCGGGTTTATCGCACAATACGCCACTTAATAAAAATAAACGTTAATAATTGTATTTGTACAATTTAAATTATGATATTAAATCGCAACCGTCATTAACTTTATAGGGTATATATACCCACAGATATACATATATACGAAATATTTGTGATGTGCTTCTATTTATAGACGTTATATAGACTGAGGTCAGCCGATCTCAGTATGGATAGGTATCACTCCGTTTAATTAGAAATATGAGTGCGAATTTCCGTTTGCCGTCTCTCACTCACATTCCTACACATATGTACATGTGTATGTACATAGGTAGCACTGTAGCAGCGATAGCCACCTTATCACGCCATCCACTCGAGACTCTTCCATTATGCGGGCCCATATAACAACAATCGAATTAGTTGTTGGCCTGCTGCTCCTCCGATAACAATTATGGCAATTGATTCTTCCTCAATTGCCCACAGGCCAATTGCCGGCTTGAGTGGGCGTGTCCACTCTGCATACGGAATGGAGAGTGTGTGCGAAAGAGAGACAAATAACCAATCGAAGTGGCCAATCAAAGTCGAGCAACGATTCGCGCTGCTTCATTACAAAGAAAATGTCGATAAAGGAAAGCTTTCCATGGCGCTACGCAGAAAATCAGGGCAATTCAATTCAATTCAATTTATGTCAAGTGTGAATAGTAATCATTATTTGAATAGTAAATATTTACATATACATATGCCATGTAATACGTATATATTTACTTAATTATTTGATATTTTCATGAATTAAATTTATATTAATTATGTATTTAAACTTAAATAAGTACATCATTTTGTTTTTAATATTTGTGAATGTATATACTTTGTTTAGAGTTTCGTTATTTATATTTTATAAATTTATTTAATTTTTTAATTGTTTCTTTTACTAAATATTTGGATAATACAATAATTAAATTTTTTTTTTTTTTAGTTAGCGTTTGGTTTTAAACCAGAAATAGAAAAATAGAAAATAGAAAAAATTTCAAATTTTTAGAATCGAATGGAGAGAACAAAATTAATTAATTAATTAAAGTTAATAAAAAATCAGACTTTAATTTAAATGCTTACAAATATGAAATGAAACTTAATATATCAATTAAAATTAAAGATTGTGATTTAATGTAAAAAATCGCATTATACCTGGTTCACATTGAGGCTCTATGGAAGTCAGCGTAGTGAGTTGCCTGAAGAAGGCAAGATCCAGTTGGACTCCGTCATTTTATGACAGTATGTGACTTTATAGCATATAATTAATATACTGTAGTTTAAATTTTCATTTTCATAAATTTTTTAAATTTTTCATTTAAAGTTATTTTAATTAGCGAAAATGCCAGATTACTTTAATAGAAATTGCTGCTCCCCACAATGCCATGTTATGCTATTAACAGCATTATGTTAATAGCATAACTCAGGCACCGGATCTCCTATGCAAGCAGCAATGCAAATGAGGTAATGAAAGCTCAAATGTAGCTTTTAAAATAATTAAAATATTTTTAGATAAATTTTAATTTAGCTAAGCTTAAAAAAATAATGGTTTAGTATGGGACAACTGTTCATATCTATTAATTATTTTTTATACCTATTCATTTATTAAGGATTAGAAGTAATATAAAATTAAGTTGAAATTAAGAATTAAGCACTAGCAACTAGAGCGTTCGGCTATGTACATATATTAAATTTAATTTAATTTACTTTACTTGCTTTTGTAGGTTTCAGCAATCCAGCGACTGCTGCCGCCGCTCTCTACTGCAATGCGGCATATCCGGCCGCCAGCTTTTACATGTCGAACTTTGGCGTGAAGCGGAAGGGCGGCCAAATCCGCTTTACGTCACAGCAGACGAAAAATCTCGAGAATCGCTTCGCCAGCTCCAAGTACTTGTCGCCCGAGGAGCGCCGGCATCTGGCGCTGCAGCTGAAGCTGACCGATCGGCAGGTGAAGACCTGGTTTCAGAATCGACGCGCCAAGTGGCGCCGGGCGAATCAAACCAAGCGACAATCGAATCATGCCACTGCCACGCCCACAGCGAATACTAGCAACAGCAGCAGCAGCGCAGCCTATGCACAGCCCGGAACGGGGCGAGGGACACACAGTGAAGACGAGGATCGCATGTACCTCTCAGCGGATGAGGAGGACGACGAGGACGATGAGGAGAGCATTGAGGAGGATGTGGCCCAACGCGTTACAACGTGACCAAAAAGTCAATTTAAGATTTCTATTTTTATATGTAGTTTTAATAAATTTATTAGATTTTAACATAGCATTGTTGTTATTGTTGTTGTTGTTGTTAGTGGAATTGATAGCTGTCCAAGCAGCTGCAGTTGGGCAGATTGCAGCGTGGCGCCAAGTTCGACAGATGGCCCATGGTAACGGGAAAGGAGAGCGGCACGAACCACTTGGGATAGGCGCAAATGGCAGCGGCTGCCGTCGACGAAGCCTTCGATGCATACTGTGAAAGAGATGAGACAATTGTCAATTGAGAAATGCGTCTACCAGACAACAGATGGCGCACTATGTGCTCGAGGTGGAAAGAGTAAGAACTAAAGCCAAAGATAGTCGAGGCAGTGGGATTTGGAGAAGCGAAGAGTTGAAGAGAGAGTATGTGTGTGAGAGAGTAAGATCTTAACACTGTATAGATGACGAATTAAAATTCATCTATATATTCTGGTCGCTTTTGGTACTGGACTGGATACTTCCCATAAAACTATTTTATTATTTTCTTTAAAAAAGTGTTTTTGTAGCGTACGAAATCCTTGAGTTTTTATAATCATCTTGAAAACGCAGCAATTGTATAGATAGACAAATGCCAAAACAATTTTTTATTTTGACAACTAATTAACTTTTAATCTCTGGATTATCACTATAGAAAAGTCTTACACTTATATCATTATTATATGTATACTTATTTGGTTAAAGTTGAAAAATTGTGCATCTGCTACGATAAATTATTTTGTCCAACTAATTATTATTGTCATTATAAGTCAAATAATATAATTAAAATAAATTAGATAAAGGGACTAAGAAACGAATAGATGATCAGTATCAAAATTCAAATAAACACACAGTGACACACGCGCTTTCAGTCTTTTTACAGGTCAGTCTGTTTACTCACCTGCTCTGCTATGACCGGGCGAAAGGCGCTGCTTCGTGGTGGCATCGCCAGCTGCAGGGATGGCAGCGGCTGTGGCGGCAGCTGTGGCAGGAGCTCCACGGTCGTTTGCTCCGCCGTCGGCGGTTGGGCAGAGACGTCCGAGACGTTTTCGATGGCGCGTATCAAGTCCAGGTCGCAGCGCTTGAGCACCAGCTCCAGCACGGATCGCTTGCGCTGAGGAAAGAGCTGGGCCAGCATATCGATCGCACTCTGGGAGACAAAGTCGCGACGCGTTGCACTCAAATCTTCGGCTACGGCCATGGATTCAGGCTGGGATTCCAGCTTCTGCAGCTCTTGCTGCTGCTGTTGTTCTTTTTCCTGTTCATGCTCCTGCTCCTGTTCCCGCTCCTGCTGCTGCTGCTGCTGCTGCTGCATTGACTGTGGCTGCTCCTTGGGCTGCGTGACGGTCAGTCCGAAAATGCTGCCCGGCGGCAATGCCTCGATTTGGCGTCCCGTCTTATTTGCCACCAGGCGCAGCGCAATCGCATCCTCCACCGCCTGTTGGCGCTTGAGGGCAACCTGTGAGCAGACCGAATGCCAATTGAAATTAATATGCGACAAGTGTTGGAGGCGACTTTCCAGAATCTCTGTTTGACTTAACGCGAGGTAAACAGAGAAGCAAAACAAAGCACCAAAACCAACTGCAATTCCTTAGGGTATCGCCCACGAAAACAAAATTGGGCCGTTCCCGAATCCGCAAACACCGCAGGAGAAGTGATAAATGAAACTTGAATACTTGATTATTTAGCTCTAACAAATATGTGCCGCAACTTCACTAGAAATCTCTTCGATTTCTTTGGCTTTTCGCCAATTGAATGGTATGAAAACTCGAATTCAGACGAGTCTGGGAACAAGCTGAAATATTCTTTGGTCAGTTAGTTTCTCCCCCATGTAATGCGAGCCCGCCCGCTGAACACTTGTGCAAACAGTTGGTAAGCGGATATTTTAGCTCGATTTGTTCGTACGCTTTGACAAGTTTCCATCATCAGCAACATCAGGCGAGGGCATCGGGCGTTAAGCAAGTCAGAGAGAAGACCAGAAGAAGTTTACCACAAATCTGAACAGAATTTCGTATTTCATTTGTTTGCCAAGGACTGGGAGCAGGAGCAGGAGAAGGATACAGGCGCAATTGCCCTCGCTCTGGATTGTTTATCTTTCAAATTAGGACATTGCCTCGGTTAATCTAAAGACAATACTAATGGAATAACTATTAAGATGCGAAAAGCATATGATACGCAATGAGTTAATTGAAAAACTGAAGGATGATAGGGTTAAGGAGAGTGTAATTATGGGAAAAGTTAAGCCTATTGTAGTGCAATAATTATATAAAATATTGTGAAAGAATCTTAATTAAGTTTATTTAGAATTGAGATGATTATGTAGGCGAAAAGTTTAAGTATTGCTTTGATATAACTCTTTCTATTATTGAGGACGCAAAAGGTTATTATACGGAAATATTATTATTGACCGATAGCAACAAATAAGTTTACAGTATAAAGAAATATCAATTAAGCACAAAAGCTTATCAGGGACTATAAGGACTTGATTACTTGGTTTCCCGCTCTCTCTCTCTCTCTCTCTTTCTTTATCTTCCTCTTTCTCTATATTTCTACCCCCCTCCCTCTCTCTCTCTCTCTTTGTATTACTATTTCTCCTCTTTTTGTTTATTGTCTCTGCTACTCCCTTTTCTCCTATTATCTGATATATTTGATCTCTCACATTCTTTCTGCCTCTTATCTCTATGTCTATCTCTCTAACTTACATTCAATCTTACACTCTTTATTGCCCTCTCGCTACTTCCCTGGTTCCCTACCTTTCTGTGCCAGTTATTCTTTTTCCTTTAACATTTCTTTCCTAGTCTCTTATTCTTTTATCTGTCTTGTCTCTCTGTCCCTATCTTTTTCCTTATTTATTCGTACTAGTTCTTATCCATGTTCACCCTACATAGCTTTATATGTTACTCTGCTCTTCCTCTTCTAGAATAAGTCTCTTTCCGACTTCTGGTTTTCTTATTCCCTCTTCTCTCAAACTGCATTATCTCTCTAATTCTCTGAAGGATCTCCACACTTCTCCCACTCCATCTTTCAGATCTCACCTGTGCGGCCATAATGCGCTGTCGCTCAAAGATCAGAACGCACTTGGCACACTTGCAGCTCTTGTAGGTGCAGAGCTTCTTGTGGCCGCGTAGCTCGGAGATGATGCCGTGATTGCGACAGCGGGCGCACTTGGGCACGCGATTCGAGACTTTGGGTAGAGGCGTTTCAGCCAGTTTCGTTGGCTTTGAGTTAACGGCGAGTCGCGCGCGTTTCGCGTGAACTGGGTTATCGTCGGACATCATGCCACGAAGAAGGATTCAACAGATAACAATAAAGTGATAATTATTGAAAGTTGCAAGCGTTATTTGGAGCGTGTCTAATGGCAAGCCAAAAGAAACTACATTTTGGACACACTTGCCTTTGAGTGCAATTGTTTCAAAGGACATTTCGAATTGGACGATTTGTTGACTTACGCAGGCGCCTTGGCAATGTCCTGTCGTAGCAACTTTTCGACGATACGATTGGTGGTTGTTGATGGACATAGCTCCACCCATCAATTATATATTCAATTAAGGCGGTTCAAAATATTACATGGTATAACAACCACACAATTAACATATTTACTAAATATATTGTGAGCTTTCGGAGCTTTAAAATGAAAATACGTTAAATGTGTGTTGCTAAGGATCGAAACGGGATTGGTTAACTGATTTGCTCCTCAATTAACAGTGTTCGCTCCACAGCTAACAGTGGCACCAATCAATAAATATTTTTAATTGAAGAAAAATGGCATACAAACCTACCAAGAAAATCTAACATATATCTTTATGCATATGTCAACTTCTAAATATCTGAATTACTGTAAATGGTACAATCACTAACCATATATGTGCTAGTGGAAAAATGTTATTGTTAACATCAATATATCGATAAAAAATAAAAACTATTGTCAACTGTTATCGGCACTGAGAAGTTATCGATGTTTTTGTATTGCTTCAATGATGCATCGCTAATTTTAGTCAGTCGGAAATCATCTTCGAACGTTAAAAAATGGATCGGTAGCTAAAAGAGATAATTTAAAGCGAAAAACGCAAAGAAAACGGCTTTTGTCCGCTATTTCAGCGATTTTTTTTGTGTTGTAATCAGCAGAAAATTTTTAACAACAGCTACAGCGACCAAACACCACCAGTCAGTCCCAGGCAATAACCAACAGCAAATTTTGCAATATTCAATCAAATTTTACTGCAACCACAATAAAATCAACCATATTCAAGCCCCCAAAAATACATATACACCAAAATATCTACCACAAAGGTAAAAAGCAAGGAGGATCAAATCATTTAATATTGAAAAAAATAGAAGAAATATTCAATTTTGTGCTTGCTTTTGCCAATGTGATGAGAAAATCCAGCAACAATAGCAACAACAACAGCCACCATTACCAACAACCGACCGACAATAGTGAAGCGCAGCCGACGTCAGCAGAACAGCAGCTGCCGAACAGTGGCTGAAAAAATTGTTTTGCCAAAGTAAATTTTCCTGCGACAATTTTCCTTCTTTTTTGATGCTGCTGCGTAATTCGCAACGACGCCGACTGCAACTATATCAAGTGCAAAAATTGTAGTAGCAAAAAATTCAAATCAAACAATTCATTTCTTGGCAGAGCAGCCACAGCGTAGCAGCAACAGAAAAATCTTTTCAATAGCCACCATTTTGAATGAGCGCAGCAACAACAGCTAACGCCGCAGCAGCAGAAGCAGCAGCAGAGAGAGCGAGAGCACAACGCAGCCGTTGCAGAAGTAGCAGCAGCGACGTTGACGTCAACGCTGTGTCTTATTAGCACCCTGTAAGAGCGAAAAGGAAAAGGAGAAGACAAGCTTGCAGCTGTTAGACCGGAATAGTTCTCAAAAATACGGTGCGTGGATTTGCTGGTGTGATAGGAGTAAAGAGAGACTGTGTGAGTGCCAAAAGGAAAACCAAGGGATTCAAAGTCGACAGACAGCGCCAAAATTATGGTTTTACGTATTTTGGAAGAGGAAAATGCCAGCACAGCTGCTGCAATGGAGTTTGCGT